GAGTTGGAGATCATTAATTTGTCTGGGTATAAAACTGAGTAGCTGTGGGATTTTCTGTTGCAGTATTCAGCAAATAGAATACAGGAGCATGGTTAAATTCATTTCACATGATGTATGTGCCGGGTGTGAGGGTTGCATAAGCTAGAAAAACTCAATGGAAGGAAATACTATTTTGACAAAGAAAGCCTAGAGAATGTGTGGGATTTTTGTTCAGATAACAAATTGCAGGCGGGAGTCTGTTGGGAGGGAAAGGAGTAGTAAGCAGAGGAATGACACAGGAGGTGGGATCAGAGGTGGGAATGGACCAAGCATGTTAGAAGACACAGTAAAGCAATCTGGCCGAGCGGGAGGGCTGCAGAAAGGCCAGCATGGAAGGAGGGTGTGAAAAGGGCCCATCTGACAAAGATCAGGTAAAGTACAAACTCTCTAGCCTCCACGTCCACGCCATATCTTCCAGGAAGTGGGGATCTGATGAAGGTTATTGTGCAGGAGAGTGATTTAAGACAATTAACGTGGTGGCAGTCCGCTCCATCCAGAGATGGGAGAGGGACATTGGCTGGAGGCAGGAAAACTGGTCTAGGAGGCTGGCAAAGGAATCTGATATTCAGGAAACAGTAAGAGAGGAAAGAGGGTTAGAGGCAAAGGACAAAAAGTTGCCCTCACTCTGCTCCCTGTACTTCTCACACTACAGAATTCTCGTTCTCAAATGTGAGTGACTTGCATAGTTTCTCTCACCCCATGACTCCTCTCTCCCTCCATTCCTTCCTTCCTCTCCCTCCCTCCTTTTCCTTCTTTTTTTCTTTCTCTTTCTCCTTTCCTTTCCTCTTCTCTCCTTCATCTTCCTTCTTTCCTCCTTCCCTTCCTTCCTTCTTCCTTCCCTCTCTCCCTTCTGTGTTCTTTCTTTCTTTCCAGAGAGGGAAAGAGAGACGAGAGAGAGAGAGAGAGCGTGCGCGAGCGAGCGCATGTGCACAATGTGGGGGGGTGTGCAGAGAGAGAAGGAGAGAGACACTTTTTTTTATTAACATATAATGTATTATTTGCTCCAGGGGTACAGGTCAGTGAATCATCAGGCTTACGCATTTCACGGCATTCACCATAGCACATACCCTCCCTGATGTCCATCACCCAGCCACCCTATCCCTATCCCCCTACCCCCCAGCAACCTTCAGTTTGTTTTGTGAGATTAAGAGTCTCTTATGGTTTGTCTCCCTCCTAATCCCACCTTATTTCATTTTTTCCCTCCCTACCCTCTATGAGTCTCTGCCCTGCCTCTCAAATTCTCCATATCAGAGAGATTATATGATAATTGTCTTTCTCTGATTGACATTTCGCTTAGCATAATATCCTCTAGTTCCATTCACATTGTTGCAAATGGCAAGATTTCTTTTTTTGACGGCTGCATAGTATTCCATTGTGTATATATACCCCATCTTCTTTATCCATTCATCTGTTGATGGACATCTAGGTTCTTTCCATAATTTGGCTATTGTGGACATTGCTGCTATAGACATTCGGGTGCATGTTCCCGAGAAGGAGAGAGACTCTTAAGCAGGCTCCATGATCAGATCAGTGAGGAGCCTGACGTGGGACTTGATCTCACAACCCTGAGATCATGACATGAGCTGAAATGTAGAGTTATTTAACCAACTGAGACACCCAGGAGCCCCTCTTCTTTCCTCCCTTCCCATTCCTCCCTGCCCTCCCCCCCCTTCTTTCCTCCTTTCCTTCCTTCCCTCTTTTCTCAATACTTACAGAGTATTTACTGCTTACACACTGGATGTTGTATAAGGCACTAAAGACTCAGAGAAGGAAATCTGATTCCTTAGCAAACAAGTGACATTTAGCAGGTGACCAAGTAAAAAAGTGTGTCAGGTTTTACGGGTACACAGAGTAGGGGACCTCTAACCCAGAAAAAATATCAATTGAACTCAGGCTGGAAAAACCAGAAGGAGGTCACAGGGTGGGGTAGGGTAGCAGGGAGGGCTTCAGGAGCCTTGGTTGCCTGGGGAAACTGCATCCCAGAGTGTGTGTGTGTGTGTGTGTGTGTGTGTGTGTGTGAGAGAGAGAGAGAGAGAGAGAGAGATTGAGAAAGAGAGGTAGGGAAGGGCCATGAGGTCAGAGAGGGCTTTATGTGTCCTGATAAAGAATTTGGGTTTTATTCCAAACACGCTGGGTGGTCCTGGTGGATTTTACACAGAAGGATGACATTAACTTCTTTTTAGAGTCATCAAAACTCAGGCTTTGAAGACAGATTGAGATCAGAGTGTTACTCTTGGTTCAGCCACTTGGTGGCTGTGTGAGCTTGGACAATTTACTTAATCGCGTGAAGCCTAGGTTTCTTCTTTAAAATCGAAAACAAACAAACCCAACTTCCTCCTAGGTACTATTGTTTTTATTTGCCAAGAGGATTAAATGAATACCATTTGTAATATTCTTAGCACAGGGCCTGGCACATAGAAAGCCCTCCAATCCTGATGGCTACTCTCTACCAGCACTCATATCATTATTATGATTGTAAAAATTGATCTGGGAGTGGTATGCAAGGTGTGGCAGAGGTAGGGGGTAAGCTGGAGGAAGGGAGACTACTTAGGATGCTTCTGGAAGAATCCGGGGAAAAACTAACTAACTTTCTTACTTTTCTTTTTTTCCTTCCTTCTTCCTTCTTTCTTTCCAGTACATAGCTGTCGTTCAGAGGGAATAAAATAAGTTTGTGGACTAAATTAAAAGGAAGACTGAGCAGAATTTACTGATTGATTAGCTCAGAGAAACCAGGGGGAGAGTAAAAGATGACTTTAAGGCTTCGAGGTTGGGTGACTGCAGAGTTCTGGTGCTATTAACACAAAGAAACCCTTTCTCTCCCCATCCCATGGCTCAGCTTTCTCAGACCATTGTTCGCCTGACACCTTCTGATGGTCACCCGCTTTTTCAATTTCATTTATTCGCCCAGTGATTGTGCTGTGCGTGTCTGCCACTTTGTCTTTTTCCAGAATGGCTTGTCATAACCATAATGGAGGTATATCTGAATTTAAAAACTTCAACTTTTTGAACCCTCAGACTCCACTTACAAATTGGTTTTGAATACCTCTCTCTAACTCCTTCCAAACCTCATTTCATTTTTAGATCCTATAGATGTCTTTGGAAAGACTAGCATCCTATGCCTCTACGTGGGGGGATTAATAGGATCCCATACTTTTACAATTAATATTGTGTCTGAAACAAAATATTTTTATGGCTTCTCAGTATTATATAATTGCCATTTTCTCTCATATATGGAATTGTATTTTTGGTCCCATGTCACAAACAAACAGACAACCAAAACTGGCTCAGCTTTTGGCTTTTCTTTTCTGGCTAATTGGTGCTTCCCCTCTAACTCAGAAGACATTTGGAAAAACCTGGGAATTTGACATGAGGTCTTGTTCTAGCCAGGTCATCTGTCCACCATGAATGACTGATTTTAGTACCAGGTAAGAACAGATGGGGCTGAAGCCATGGCCATCATTCTCTGGGTTTTCTTTTTTTTCCCTTGAGTTTGATTATTCTGATTACTAAAAATGCCCTGCTGTTTGTCCAAAAACAGGAATTTTGAGAGTGCTGAGGCTCGGTTAGCCAGGTCAAGTCTCCAGTAATATATATAGAGATTGTGTTTTAGAGTGGAAAATTTTAATAAATATCTTATACGAAAACAAGTGACACATGGTAAACAAGTTGAGAGTTGATCTCTACTAGTGAAAATGGCAGTGTGTAGATCTGTCCACAGTCTCTGCCTGATTGTTGGGAGTCAGCTGTCCCAAACAAGAGGACGTCGAGAAAACCCCCCTGCCCCTCAGGATGGCTGTCTGATCTCAGCGTCATTAGCTCCTGAGGTCCCACCAATAAAGTTTGAATTCCTGTAGACCCACAGCAACTCACATGCGGTCCTTCTACTCCTTCTCTCTACTGGTCCCCTAGTGTGTGTGTGTGTGTGCGCGCGCGCGCATTTCAGAAATAGTACATGAAAGATGGGAAATTAAATGTCTCTGTGGGAAAAAGCAGTGTTTCAGGTTCTCAGCATTTTAGTCAGCTGCTCTCGTATTTTTCCAGACTGTAAATATATTATGAAGCTATTAAAAATCTATTCATCGTGATGAAAAAAGGTAGGAACTCGATAGTTCTTTCCCAGTTGCCATTTGTCCAAAAACAAATATCTAAACACTTTAATTATCCTTTTAATTTCCCTTAGTGGTGGCAGAATAATCCTACTCATTTTCATGAGGGAGCAAAAAGTCTGTGCTGGGAACATAGCAAGACAAAAATCTCCCTGGGCTAGCCTGTTTATTCAGTGGTAAGGACTTTGGCAGCTCCCTGGTGAGGGCGCTGATGTGGGAAGGGAGAGGTAGAGAGGACAGGAATCTCTTTTAAATCACAGACAGAAGGAAACCAGGAAGTCAGGAGAAATTACTGCTTGTAGCTCAGGATGTTAAAGGCAATAGGCTCCCCTGGTTGGTTAATCATTAGCAAAAAGGAAAGCTCTGTGGGGGTCAGGACCGGCCAGACCACAGAGACGGACTCCAGCAGGGAGAGAGCTCCTGGCAGAGGCAAGAAGTGATCTTACCTGCAGTTCACCTCTTTCTTTTACTGACTTTACCTCGGGACATAAAGCAAGATGACTCTTCTGTTCTTAGACGTTTGTCTAAATTAAGCCCTCTTGATTTCATTTTTGCTCTGGAATTCCTAAGCAGAGAAGAAGAAAAGACATCTTCCCCTGAGCAGCCTCCCAGCTCCCATTCAGTTTGGTACTGGGGCAGCAGCTCCAGCCACAGGAAGCAACCCGGTGAGTGTCCCCAAGCGGGGGTCACTGCAGGCAAATCTGCCCCTCGTTGTGAAACGGGGCTTTGCACACTTTCTGAAGCCCGGGGAATTGGTGCTGACTTCCAAGCTGCCTGGTGGAAGAAGAGAAAGTTGATCTGCAGACCCTGAGGGGAAAGGGAGAAGCCCCTCCCCCCTCCCCCCACCACAGCACCATGGGCAACGTTTGTCTGAGGTTCTGGGCATACTTGCGGCCCTGTCTCCCCTGCTTGTTCCAGGAGGCCGACAAGCCGGGAGTGGTGATTGGGAACCCCATGGCCCACTGCTTCCCTGGTCCTCCCCAGCTGCACAGTCAGGAGCCCGGGAGAAGCCACGGCCACTACTTTGTGGCTCTGTTTGACTACCAGGCTCGGACCGCAGAGGACCTTAGCTTCCGCACGGGCGACAAGCTCCAAGTCCTGGACACTTCCCGGGAGGGCTGGTGGTTCGCCAGGCACTTGGAGAAAAGGGGAGATGGCTCTGGCCAGCCGCTGCAGGGCTATATTCCTTCTAACTATGTGGCTGAGGACAGGAGCCTGCAGGCAGAGCTGTGAGTAGTACAAACCCACACTTTGTTTCTCAACTCTCTGGGGGCGGATGAGCTTTCCTTCTTACCTATCTGCAACCCCCTAATTTCCAAAGAGCCACCCAGAAAGTATGAGGAAGTCCTGGCAGGAACCTTCTCATTGAAACACACCTCTCCTGCTCAGTGAGAGTGAAACTGGCAGGTAATTGTTGTGGAAATGACTTCTATTACCATATGTAAACCCAGGGGCCCTGGGTGCATCTTCATCAATGTAAACAAATGGTGCATTTAAGGCCCTACCTTTACTTTGGCTGTAAAATAAATCATGCCTCACTTGTGTAACAGAACTGCATTTCATTGGCAGGTAGGTCACAGATCTTCCCTTACATCGCCCTTTCAAATCTGAAGTCCAGCCCTCTTGCTTTTAAAACGTTTGAAGGATCAACCCCCAACCCTAACTCTAATTTTAATCCTTTTTCATTCTGTTAGGCACACACAGGGCCAACTAACATACAGGGTTTAACATTTAGAAGATGCTAATTTTCCACTACTTTTTCCCACTGAAATCATGACTAGACTTTTTTCTTTGAGTACCAGATATGGACTTATGCTACCCAAATTGTGATCGTTTGGAGCTTTTGTTATGATTAGAAACTGGCCAGCTACAGATATTTAGTAATGGTAGAGAGGAGGTGATAAAGACTACTCTGATATTTGAAAAAAATCCTATGAATTATGATGAACCCACAGAGGACAATTATATATACTTTTCCATTCATCCGTCCATCCACCCACCCATCCATCCATCCATCCATCCACCCGTCCATGCATCCATCCATCCATCCACCCATCCACCCCACCCGTCCATGCATCCATCCATCCATCCACCCACCCGTCCATGCATGCATCCATCCATCTATCCATCCATGCATCCATCCATCCATCCATGCATCCATGCATCCATCCACCCATCCATGCATCCATGCATCCATGCATCCATCCACCCATCCATGCATCCATGCATCCATGCATCCATCCACCCATCCATCCATCCATGCATCCATGCATCCATCCATCCATCCACCCCACCCGTCCATGCATGCATCCATCCATCTATCCATCCATGCATCCATCCATCCATCCACCCATCCATGCATCCATCCACCCATCCATGCATCCATGCATCCATGCATCCATCCACCCATCCATGCATCCATGCATCCATGCATCCATCCACCCATCCATCCATCCATGCATCCATGCATCCATGCATCCATCCACCCCACCCATCCATGCATCCATGCATCCATCTATCCATCCATGCATCCATCCATGCATCCATCCATGCATCCATGCATCCATCCATCCATCTACCCGTCCGTGCATCTGTGCATCCATGCATGCATGCATGCATCTATCCATCCAGGCAAGTGCCAGGCACAGTAGTGGCATGGTGAGTGGGGGAGGAGGGAGGTTATGCTAGTGGTGGTTGAATATAAAGGAGGTAAAACACAGTCTTGATAGTGGATATTTGAGGTTTGGTGGGTTGAGAAGCAAGTGGGGACTGTTACTGGCCCTAACTTTGTTCCCGCCTCGTTTCCGTGAAACCCAAGACTGGGAATATGTCCCAGGACTCATTTTATAGAATGGATCCTTAGTAGAGGAATGAACCTCTGGGGATTCACTCAGTCTCTCATATGGTTCTCCTTTTCTATGAGAGCTGCAGCATCCTTTACTAGCCCAGGAAATGAAATGGCAAGGAAGTGCTCTTGGGGTAGTACTGTTGCTTGCTAAACTCAAATACAAATACATAAGGAGATTTGGTTATTTTTGAGATTCTTTCCAACACCAGGAACCTATACATGTTAAGAAGGCTCTTATTTGGGGCGCCTGGGTGGCTCAGTGGGTTAAGCCGCTGCCTTTGGCTCAGGTCATGATCCCAGGTCCTGGGTTCAAGCCCCACATCGGGCTTTCTGCTCAGCAGGGAGCCTGCTTCCTCCTCTCTCTCTGCCTGCCTCTCTGCCTACTTGTGATTTCTCTCTGTCAAATAAATAAAATCTTTAAAAAAAAAAAGAAGGCTCTTATTTATGCCTAAATTTTATGCCTAGAAATGAATTGAAACCTAGACTTTTGATGAATGGAATTGTTCTCACATGAGAAAGTCATCTGCATAAACATTTGTTTTCTGTGTTAATCTATAGGAAATACCTTATTCATTGAATGCTTACTTATGTGCATTTATGTTTTCACTACTATATGATTTACAGACATATTATGGTATTATGGTATGATGTGATAGTATGCTATTATATTTTATATTCAGCATAAGACATGCATACTGTATGAATGAATACTAGAATATTTATATTAGAGTCTTGAACTCATAATCTAATATTTTTATCATTCTATTTTTTATTCATCATGATAAGTGTACTCTCTAACCCGCACCCCAAATTTCCCCCATCCACCCATCCACATCCCCTCTAGTAACCACCGGTTTGTTCTCTCTAGTTAAGAATCTCTTTGTTGATTTTGCTTTCTCTCTCTTTTCCCCTTTGCTCATTTGTTTTGTTTCTTAAATTTCACCTATGAGTGAGATGATATGGTATTTGTCTTTCTCTGACTTACTGATTTCCCTTAGCTTTATATTCTTTTGCTCTATCCATGTTGCAAATGACAAGATTTCATTCTTTTTATAGGTATATAATATTCTATCTATCTGTCATCTCTCTCTCTCTCTCTCTAGATATCTATGTAAATATCTGTATCTATCTATCTATCTCATCTTTATTTATTCATCTATCAGTGGACACTTGGTCTGCTTCCATAGTTTGGCTATTATAAATAATGCTGCAACAAATATAGGGATGTAATGAATTAGTGTTTTTGTATATTTTTTGGGTAAATACACAGTAGTATGATTACTGGATTATAAAATAGTTTTATTTTTAATTGAGGAAGCTCCTTATAGTTTTCCACAGTTGTTTTTCACTAGTCTGCATTTTCACCAACAGTGCAGGAGGGTTCCTTTTTCTCCACATTCTCACTAACACTTGTTGTTTCTTGTGTTTTTGGTTTTAGCCATTCTGACAGGTGTGCAGTGATATCTCATTGTAGTTTTGATATACATTTTTTCTGATGATAAGTGATGTTGAGCATCTTTTCATATGTCTGTTGGCTGTCTGTTTGTCTTCTTTGTAGAAATGCCTGTTCATATCTTTTGCCCATTTCTTGACTGGAGTATTTGTTCTTTGGGTGTTGAGTTTGATAAGTTCTTTGTAGATTTTGTATACTAGCCCTTTACCTGATGTGTCATTTGCAAATATCTTCTCCCGTTCTGTCAGTTGTCTTTTAATTTTGTTGATTATTTCCTTCCCTGTGCAGAAACTTATTTTTTTTAAAGATTTTATTTATTTACTTGCCAGAGATCACAAGTAGACAGAGAGGCAGGCAGAGAGAGAGGAGGAAGCAGATTCCCCGCTGAGCAGAGAGCCCAATGTGGGGCTCGATCCCAGGACCCTGAGATCATGACCTGAGCTGAAGGCAGAGGCTTTAACCCACTGGGCCACCCAGGCGCCCCAGAACTTGTTATTTTGATGTAGTCCCCATAGGTTTTGCTTTTATTTCCTTTACTTCAGGAGACATAGCTAGAAAAATGTTGCTAGAGCAAATGTCAGAGAGATTACTGCCTATACTCTCTTCTAGGATTTTTATGATTTCAGGTCTCACATTTAGGTCTTTAATCCATTTTGAGTTAATTTTTGTGTATGGTGAAAGAAAGTGGTCCAGTTTCATTCTTTTGCATGTTGCTGTCCAGTTTTCCCAACACCATTTGTTGAAGAGACTGTCTTTTTACCACTGTATATTCATTCCTCTGTTTTTGAAGATTAGCTGACCATATAAATGTGGGTTTATTTTGGGTTTTCTGTTCTATTCCATTGATTTATGTGTCTGTTTTTACATCAGTACCATACTGTTTTAATTACTTTGTACTATATTTGAAATCTGGAATTGTGATACCTCTAGTTTTGTGTTTCTTTTCCAAGATTGCTTTGGCTATTTGAAGTCTTTTTTGGTTCCATACAAATTTTAGGATTCCTTGTTCTAGCTCTGTGAAAATGCTGTTGGTATTTTGATACAGATTGCATTGAATGTGTAGATTGCTTTGGATAGTATAGACATTTTAACAATATTTGTTCTTCTAACCCATGAGCATGGAATGTCTTTCCATTTCTTTATGTCATCTTGAATTTCTTTCATCAGTGTTTTATAGTTTTATATTTGCAGATGACATGATACTATATATAGAAAACCCTAAAGTCTCCACCAAAAAACCAAAGAACCAAAAAACCCAAAAAACCAAAAACTACTAGAACTGATAAATGAATTCAGTAAGTCTCAGGATACAAAATCAATGTACGGAAATCTGTTGAATTCCTATACACTAATAATGAAGCAGCAGAAAATGAAATTAAGAAAACGATCCCATTTATAATTGCACCCAAAACAATAAAATATCTAGGAATAAACTTAACCAAAGAGATGAAAGACCTGTACTCTGAAAACCATAATCTACTAATTTTAAATGTATTCAATATATATAATTGCTTAGGACCTTTGTTTGCTCATCTCTAGAGTCCCTGGGGTCATATAGATCTCTGGGTTCCCTGATGGTCTGGGAAAATGAACTCTTAATGTTTCATATGTAGTGGTTTAGTTGCATTCCTACTTGATAAAACCGTAAATGCTGAAGAAAACAAGTAAACTGAAATAAGACAATTCAAAAGTGATAACATTCTGGGTAACAGGCTCCAGTACAGTGTCTGTTGCTTATTTAGGTTATATTTGCCTAACAAACACAAAATAAGATGACTAAAATATCATGGCTATTTTTTTTTATTCTCATGGGCTATCTGTAACCAAGAATACTTTTTCTTTCCTGCACAACATTTTTCCTCTTGGAATTGGTTCTCAGCAGTATTCCCGTGTGTCACTATTGACCTATAGTGGGCTCCCCTTGGGAT